TCTTTACTAGTTTATTTTTATAGGTCTTATATTTTGTTTCTGCTTCTTTAGTTCTCAATTTTAAAAACAATTTATATAAATTTTTTTTCTTTTTAGATGCGTTTTCTATGCCTTTCGTTATCCATGGCTTACTTGGGTCTTTATACTTTTTGGAGACTTTAGTTAATGGAAAATGTTTATCATATAAGGAGATTATGGTAGACTGAAATACTTCAAACGCTGTATTTGGGTCTTCGTTTGAGTAGACCTCGGTCCAGTTTTGTTTTTCTAGGTCTTGCTTAAAAGCATCGATGGAGCGTTGGGTTCTTAGTCTTATTTCTGTTAAGTGAGTTGTTGACTTAGCTTTTCTATCAAAATAATTTGGAAAAACTGCAAAGACAGGTAGATGGTCACTTATATCATTAATGAGAAGTCCACTTTCCATTTTATGATCAGTCTTATTTATAAATATGTTATCTATTAATGTGGCCGTGTCAAGTGTTATTCTGCTAGGTTTCAGGATTACTGGGAAAAGGCTGTTGCTGTACATAGTATTTATGAAGTCAGTTGTTTTTTTGTGTCCATTTGGGTTTAATAAGTCAATGTTAAAGTCACCACCTATTCGTGTTTTCTTATCGTTGTAGTAGCTGAGCATATCTGTTAGTTTTTTATTGAACGTGTCAATACATGATCCTGGTGTCCTATAGATGCAACTTATGATGATATTTGTTGCCTTTTTATAATGTATTTCAATGGTTAAACATTCCATTAGGTTTTCTATTGTGTTTGTCAATCTCTCGATTTTACTGCATTTAAGTGCTTTGTCTACATATATTGCAACCCCCCCTCCTTTTTTGTTTTCCCTATTAGTTGCGAACATTTCATAACCTTCTATTTCCATTTCACTTGTTTTATCTTTGTCAAGCCAGGTTTCTGATATGGCAATTATTTTAAATTTATTGAATTTAGTCAGGTATTCTTTGATTTTTGTGAAGTTTTTATAGAGACTTCTACTGTTTAAGTGTATTACTGAAAGTGCATTTTCCAATTTTATATTCGTGTTGAATTGTTCATCTAGGTAATAGTCAGAGTTTGTTACCCTTTGTTTGTTCTTGAAGAAGTTATTGTCCGGGTCCAAATTGTTCTCGGGGTCGAATGGCTTATAGTCAGTATCTTCAAAGGGTTGGAAGTCCATGTTCTTGAGATGTGAATTTCCCGCTCTCACGATGTCGTCGCTGGCTCCCTCGCGGTCATCGCTGGTTCCTTCGCTGTTGTCACTCGCTCTCTCGCTGTCATCGCTGGCTCCCTCGCTGTTGTCGCTGGCTCCCTCGCGGTTGCTGGCTGGACGTCTCCCGGGTCCCTCGTGGTCGCTGGCTCCCTTGCGGTCGTCGCAGACTCCCTCACGCTCGCTGGCTGGTTGACTCCCGGCTCCCTCAGGCTCGCTGGCTGGCTGGGTGTCTCCCGGTTCCCTCGCGGTCGTCGCTGGCTTCCTTGCGGTTGCTGGCTGGTTGTCTCCCAGCTCCCTCGCGGTCACTGGCTCCCTTGCAGTCGTCGCTGCCTTCATCTCGGTCGTCTCTGGCTCCCTCGCGGTGGTCGCTGGCTGGTTGTCTCCCGGCTCCCTCGCGGTCGCTGGCTCCCCTGCAGTCGTCGCTGGTTTCCTCTTGGTCGTCCCTGGCTCCCTTGCGGTCGTCGCTGGCTCCCTCGCGGTGGTTGCTAGCTGGTTGTCTCCCGGCTCCCTCGCGGTCGTTGGCTCCCCTGCAGTCGTCGCTGGCTTCCTCGCGATTGTCACTGGCTCCCTCACGGTCGGTCGTCTCTGGCTCCCTCGCGGTGGTCGCTGGCTGGTTGTCTCCCGGCTCCCTCGCGGTCGTTGGCTCCCCTGCAGTCGTCGCTGGCTTCCTCTCGGTCGTCTCTGGCTCCCTTGCGGTCGACACTGGCTCCCTCACGGTGGTTGCTGGCTGGTTGTCTCCCGGCTTCCTCGCGGTTGCTGGCTTCCCTGCAGTCGTCGCTGGCTTCCTCGCGATTGTCACTGGCTCCCTCACGGTCGGTCGTCTCTGGCTCCCTTGCGGTCGGTTGGTCTTGAAAAAGTTGATGTCCAGGTCCAAGTTGTTCTCAGGGTCAAATGTCTTGTGGTCAGTAGGGTTGGAAGTCATCAAAGGGTTCGAAGGGTCATCAAAGGGTTCGAAGTCCATGCTTTTTGGTATGTGAATGTCTTTGTATTTTTGAAATTTCACCACAACTGACCTTGGTCGAGGTCTTCCAGGTTCATGTCTTCCTGTGCGGTGAGCTCTCTCCACCTCAATTTGTCCCTGTAACAGCAGCTTTTCCTTGAGGATTTTTTGAACTTTTTCCTCTGTTTCAGTCCACGTTTCTCCCGGTGTTTCCTCAATTCCATCAATTACCAAGTTGTTTCTTCTTGACTGTCCTTCCAAGTAGTCCATCTTGTCTGTTAATGCTAGCATGCTGTCGCATATTTTGTAGATTTCTGATTGCATGTCTTTGGAATGGCCAGTTTGACAGATTAGATTTTTTTTCATGTCGTTTACCTCTTTTTGGGTAAAAATCAGCTATTTCTGCAGTTTTCTCAATAATAGTATTTTTTGTCTTTAATAAAGTACTCTGGATAATATGCTTTTTTAGAGCTATTTCGGATTACATGATTTAATAGTTTCCATATTTCTTGAGTGTTGCTTTTATTCTGCTCTAATAATGCATGGTAATGATCTCCCTTACTAGTTCTTATAATATTTACTAATTTGTTTTTATAGGTCTTATGTTTTATTTCAGCATCTTTAGTTCTCAATTTTATAAACGATTTGTATAAATTGTTTTTCTTTTTACATGCGTTTTCTATGCCTTTTGTTATCCATGTTACTAAGGTCTTTGTACTTTCTGGAGACTTTAGTTACTGGACAATGTTTATCATATAAGGAGGTGAAGGTTGACTGAAATGCGTCGAACGCAGTATTTGGGTCTTCGTTTGAACAGACCTCGGACGACTTTTGTTTTTCTAGGTCTAGCTTGAAAGCTGCGATGGAGTGTTTGGTTCTGAGTCTTATTTCTGATATGTGAGCTGTTGATTTAGTTTTTCTATCAAAATAATTATGAAAGACTGCAAAGACGGGTAGGTGGTCACTTATATCAGTAATGAGAAGTCCACTTTCCATTTTATGGTCAATCTTATTGATAAATATATTATATATTAATGTGGCCATATCAACTGTTAATTCTACTGGGTTTCAGGATTACTGGGAAAAGACTGTTGCTAAATGTAGTATTATGAAGTCTGTTGTTTTTTATGTCCATTTGGGTTTAATAAGTCGATGTTAAAGTCGCCACATATTATTCATATTTTCTTATCGTTGGAGTAACAGCATATCTGTCAATTTATTATTGAATGTGTCAAGACATGATCCTGGTGTCCTGTAGATGCAACTTATGACATTTGATGCCTTTTTAATATGTATTTCAATAGTTAGGCATTCCATTAGGTTCTCTATTGTGTTTGTCAGGCTCTCGATTTTAATGCATCGTAGAGCGTGGTCTACATATATTGCAACCCCCCCTCCTTTTTTGTTTTCCCTATTTGTTGCAAACATTTCATATCCTTCAATTTTTATTTCACTTGTTTTCTCATTGTCAAGCCAAGTTTCTGATTTGGCAATTATTTTAAATGTATTAAATATAGTCAGGTATTATTTGATTTTTGTGAAGTTTTTATAGAGACTTCTACTGTTTAAGTGTATCACTGAAAGTGTATTTTCCAGTTCTACATTTGTGTTGAATTCTTCGTCCATGTAATACTCGGGAGTTTGTGATGCTGTGATTATGATTGAAGAAATGATTGTCCCGGTCCAAGTTGTTCTCGGGGTCGAATGTCTTGTGGTCAGCATCATCAAAGGTTTTGAATTCCATGTTTTTGGTGTGTATTTCCTATTTCAGTGAAGTCAAAGAGTTTTTTTGTCTGGTGGTGATCAGTTCTCAGCATGCCATGTGTTGGACTTGAGCCTGTTGTGTTGGGAGTACTGGTGCGGGGGTAGACTATGAGTTTGTCATGCCTTAAGTAGGCAATTTCCCCTCTGTCACGTGCAGCTTTTAACCTTTTGGAAGCAGTTCAAGGTTTCTCACTTTTGCATGTGCCTCCCTGATACAGAATTGCTTGAGACAATCGTGCAGTTTGGAATCTTTTATCTGAGAGCTGAAGGAACGGGATAGCTATTATTCCAAAGAAATTATTATCAAGGATTCTTGTCAAAAATAAGAGCACGGCTTAAAAAAATATATAAAATAAAAGATAAGAAGAAAGAAACAAAAACTTAAGCAGAATATGTTCTCAATTCAAATGTTCTTTTCAACCAAGTGTTATAGGCTTGAGCTAGATAGCCTTTTTATTCATGAGAATCACTTTACTATGCTAAGTCTTCACAGTACATGCACAACAGTGTAATTCGGACACAAACACATTTCACACATACTGATGGCAAATATTGCTCAGTATTGCAGTGCTCCAAAATTATTTCGAAACACATTTTAGCTTACCACGTTCGTTTATGAGGTCTGGCGGGACCAAAAAACTCTTTCCCAACTGCAGCCTCTTTTTCTCTCTGCAAGCACTCGCACTCACACGCGCACGCACAAACACACATACACGTTTTCATGTTTGCTGGACACCACTTTTTATATCGTAGTCTCATTAAATAGTCTCATTGGGTGTTGTCTTGGTCATCTGTAATATTCCCCACCGGCTGGTGGCCATTTCGCCGCGTCTGGGGTCAAAGAGCCCCGCGGGGCGTTCCCCCCTCGCGCCACTTGGAGGCATCCCACCACGCGGGGCTGTTATGTTCGCTTGTTTTTTGTTCATCATCATCAAAACTGTGGTAAATTCTCATTGGAGTTCCTTTAAGCCAGGGCTCCCCAATTATTTTTTTTTTTTTGTTTGTTTGAAGATCTACTTTTCAATATATCGACCGCACGTGCACACATACAGGCACGCATGCACTCACACATACGCATCCACGCACGCATGCATGCCAAAATGGCCCAGAGCATGGACAAAAAAGATACAAGAGTTTCTGAAAAGGAAATCACTGCCGACCTTGGGAAAGAACTGATGTAGAGGCATGGGACTCACTTTAACAGTGTGCTAAGTGTAAGACCATCATTACCCAAGCTCATGTGTTATGTTTTGTAATGCTCCAGATTCACATTCTTTGCCAGTGCCATCGGTGAATTGCAGATGAAACAAACTTTGAGTGAGAATATTTTTTCAAAGGATATATCGCAACAGCTGTGATCACAAGCTGCAATTGCAGACTGTTGACCACTAATAACTTCTGGTGAGGCAGGTCATGCGCCACCTTCGGTTAAAATTGACTTCTTTTTTTATTTTAATTTTTAAAAACTTTGTTGTGAAACTGAAAGAATGCTTTGGGTGCAGTGTACACTAATATAAAAGAATATATCACCCCCCCACCACCCCC